GCTAAGAATTACGGTCTCGTGGCCTAATGGATAAGGCGTTGGTGTTCGGAACCCAAGATTGTGAGTTCGAGTCTCACCGAGATCGGACCTGGTTTTACCGCTCTCGTCCCGTAATAGTCGAGAAGTTCACGGTCACGAATTCTCGCTGAATCCTGCTGCGAGATGAAACTTGCAATGGGATAGGGCTGAGCCGAGAATCGAACTCCGGACCTCGTGCACCCAAAGCACGAATCATACCACTAGACCACACAGCCACATCATCCTAGTGCAAGTACGGCTTGCTGCAGGTAAGACTCTTGCCTCCTCGCTACACCACCCTCTTGCTCACCGTGGCAAGCTGAGGATTTCGGGACAGCGCCTCGTGCATCCATGAGCCACAAACTGGCGACTCGTTTTGTGTTCATGAGTCATGAATCATGACCGCCATGTTGGCATTTGCGTGGGTGAACACACCCCTTCCAAATATAAGTCACTACCCGGATTTGAACCGGGGTTGTCACGGCCACAACGTGACGTCCTAACCACTAGACGATAGCGACACGAAAATCGCTCCGATCATGCATATCCGATGTGATACCGCTCGTTCGTTCTCGCAGGCAGGTCCAATTTGTAGGGCCTTCCTATCGCGTGTGCGCTGCAGCCTCCCTCGCAGAGTTCACCTGGCCTTTTACCGCTGCACGCAACCCAGCGTCTATCTGTAGGGTTTCTGAGTTTGTGAAACCGAGAGTGGGCCCCTCCCACTTCCAAGAGTCAACAAAAGAGGAATCGTGCTCACTCAAGTTGAGTGACTCAGCATTGCATTGGAGAGAAACGCCGGGCACAGTCGCACCGGACCTTGAGTTATTGGAATATTTCGAGCTCACAGTTGCATCGTATTCGAGTCGTAAGCTATTCTTGAAGTACCTGTTTGCCGCGTCCATGTCTCGGATCCTTCCTCTCGTCTGCGACGGAGTGACGCAGAGCCGAGATGCAGCCATCGATTCGTCGTATCTCTCCAAACACTCTACACGGCATAAAAGCTATCTATTAGAAGAATTTAGAGACAGTTTGGCCGAGTGGTCGAAGGCGCTGGCTTCAAGCGCTAGTCTAAAAGGGCGCGAGTTCGGGTCTCGCAGCTGTTATGATGCACGCAAAATCATTTATTGATCTGGATATCGATACTGGTGAACTTTGTGAGGGTAGTGCTCCATACTACAGCGTGAGTCGCATTTGTACTATGCTGATCAGAAAGAAGAGTTCTTGGTGTCGCTGTTGAAAAGTCCATCGAATGCATGAGAACTCTGGGCCCGCATTGCTGACTCAACGAGCCAGGCTACAAGTACGAAGACCTGTTTCCACCCAAACAGAGAGTCTGTACTACAGACTCTGTAGAGCACACGCAAATGCTAAGTATTACGGTCACGCAAATGCTAAGTATTACGGTCTCGTGGCCTAATGGATAAGGCGTTGGTCTTCGGAACCAAAGATTGTGAGTTCGAGTCTCACCGAGATCGAACCTGGATTTACCGCTCTCGTCCCGTAATAGTCGAGAAGCTCACGGTCACGAATTCTCGCTGAATCCTGCTGCGAGATGAAACTTGCAATGGGATAGGGCTGAGCCGAGAATCGAACTCGGGACCTCGTGCACCCGAAGCACGAATCATACCACTAGACCACACAGCCACATCACCCCAGTGCAAGTACGGCTTGCTGCAGGTAAGACTCTTGCCTTTTCGCTACACCACCCTCTTGCTCACCGTGGCAAGCTGAGGATTTCGGGACAGCGCCTCGTGCATCCATGAGCCACAAACTGGCGACTCGTTTTGTGTTCATGAGTCATGAATCATGAACGCCATGTTGGCATTTGCGTGTGTGAACACACACCCCTTCCAAATAGAAGTCACTACCCGAATTTGAACCGGCCACAACGTGACGTCCTAACCACTAGACGATAGCGACACGAAAATCGCTTCGATCATGCATATCCGATGTGATACCGCTCGTTCGTTCTCGCAGGCAGGTCCAATTTGTAGGGCCTTCCTATCGCGTGTGCGCTGCAGCCTCCCTCGCAGAGTTCACCTGGCCTTTTACCGCTGCACGCAACCCAGCGTCTATCTGTAGGGTTTCTGAGTTTGTGAAACCGAGAGTGGGCCCCTCCCACTTCCAAGAGTCAACAAAAGAGGAATCGTGCTCACTCAAGTTGAGTAACTCAGCATTGCATTGGAGAGAAACGCCGGGCACAGTCGCACCGGACCTTGAGTTATTGGAATATTTCGAGCTCACAGTTGCATCGTATTCGAGTCGTAAGCTATTCTTGAAGTACCTGTTTGCCGCGTCCATGTCTCGGATCCTTCCTCTCGTCTGCGACGGAGTGACGCAGAGCCAAGATGCAGCCATCGATTCGTCGTATCTCTCCAAACACTCTACACGGCATAAAAGCTATCTATTAGAAGAATTTAGAGACAGTTTGGCCGAGTGGTCGTAGGCGCTAACTTCAGGCGCTAGTCCGAAAGGGCGCGAGTTCGAATCTTGTAGCTGTTATGATGCACGCAAAATCATTTATTGATCTGGATATCGATACTGGTGAACTTTGTGAGAGTAGTGCTCCATGCTACAGCGTGAGTCGCATTTGTACTATGCTGATCAGAAAGAAGAGTTCTTGGTGTCGCTGTTGAAAAGTCCATCGAATGCATGAGAACTCTGGGCCCGCATTGCTGACTCAACGAGCCAGGCTACAAGTACGAAGACCTGTTTCCACCCAAACAGAGAGTCTGTACTACAGACTCTGTAGAGCACACGCAAATGCTAAGTATTACGGTCACGCAAATGCTAAGTATTACGGTCTCGTGGCCTAATGGATAAGGCGTTGGTCTTCGGAACCAAAGATTGTGAGTTCGAGTCTCACCGAGATCGAACCTGGATTGACCGCTCTCGTCCCGTAATAGTCGAGAAGCTCACGGTCACGAATTCTTGCTGAATCCTGCTGCGAGATGAAACTTGCAATGGGATAGGGCTGAGCCGAGAATCGAACTCGGGACCTCGTGCACCCGAAGCACGAATCATACCACTAGACCACACAGCCACATCACCCTAGTGCAAGTAGGGCTTGCTGCAGGTAAGACTCTTGCCTTCTCGCTACACCACCCTCGTGCTCACCGTGGCAAGCTGAGGATTTCGGGACAGCGCCTCGTGCATCCATGAGCCACAAACTGGCGACTCGTTTTGTGTTCATGAGTCATGAATCATGACCGCCATGTTGGCATTTGCGTGTGTGAACACACACCCCTTCCAAATAGAAGTCACTACCCGAATTTGAACCGGGGTTGTCACGGCCACAACGTGACGTCCAACCACCAGACGATGAGTTGGGCAAAAACTGAGGGAAGAGAGGGGAAAAAGGGGAAAAGAAAAAAAAGAAGAAAGGAAAAAGAGGAAAGAAAGAAAGGGGAAAGAAGGAAGGTGGAGAAGAGTGTTGGGTATATTCCGCGGACTATCTTGCTGGAATGAGAAGCTACGCTCAAGCTAAGCAAATTGGTTCAGGATTGTAAGACAGAAGAGGGAAGATTCGACCGTTGGATTCAAGACGGCAGATCTCGGGTATTGTATTCTCAATCAGTCAGTCTCCGCCAAAAGGGACGAACTCGCATTTAACGAAATCAGAGCTCAACGGCATTATACGTGGGAAACATATAGAGCTAATACGGCGGCCAGCCATCGGCATTGAGGGCTTTGTTAAAGGTGGAGTGCCTGTATCTAGCCATTGATATCAGTGAAATTTTTTGAGGCATTGGGGGCGTTGGGATATGTCTAATGGGGCGAATGATGGGGCAGGTCAAACGTGTGCTATGATGCATGAATATGGTCTTTTGGCGCTCTTCCTGCAGACTGCGCGGGCGGAGAAGTTCACCCATATTCATAGCCACCGGGCTGTATCACACCAATTTTTTGTCGAGCCTCCGATAAATTTGGTGTGTCTCCACCAGCCGACGGATCCCGGATGACAGCGGTGAGCCACAATCCTCAGGAGGAGCATGCTTGTCGTTTACACTCGCCTTCCGCCAAGCGGTTTCTTCGACCGTGATAAGGCACTTCGCCCCTCCCCCCATGCCCAGCTACATGCCCATTTCGGTGAGTCGCGACCGAAGCTTCCAGGTCCGCAAGAGCCGCTTTAGGACAGCGACCGAACAACCCCATCGGTCTGCGGCTCGAATCTCCTGGCGTCCCGCACATGCCCCTTCCAATCAGCAGTATACGGGTACGCGCACGCGAGCCACCGATCCTGACTACCGGAGCGGCTCTGGGCCGCTCCGAAGAGCCAGCTCGGACCGCCGAGTGACCGCAGAGTACTTAATACGAGTTTGCGCCTCTGGGAACCAACTACGAAAGGCCGCACGCGAGCGTCCAACCACCAGACGATAGCGACACGAAAATCGCTCCGATCATGCATATCCGATGTGATACCGCTCGTTCGTTCTCGCAGGCAGGTCCAATTTGTAGGGCCTTCCTATCGCGTGTGCGCTGCAGCCTCCCTCGCAGAGTTCACCTGGCCTTTTACCGCTGCACGCAACCCAGCGTGTATCTGTAGGGTTTCTGAGTTTGTGAACCGAAAGTGGGCCCCTCCCACTTCCAAGGGTCAACAAAAGAGGAATCGTGCTCACTCAAGTTGAGTGACTCAGCATTGCATTGGAGAGAAACGCCGGGCACAGTCGCACCGGACCTTGAGTTATTGGAAAATTTCGAGCTCGCAGTTGCATCGTATTCGAGTCGTAAGCTATTCTTGAAGTACCCGTTTGCCGCGTCCATGTCTCGGATCCTTCCTCTCGTCTGCGACGGAGTGACTCAGAGCCGAGATACAGCCATCGATTCGTCGTATCTCTCCAAACACTCTACACGGCATAAAAGCTATCTATTAGAAGAATTTAGAGACAGTTTGGCCGAGTGGTCGAAGGCGCTAACTTCAGGCGCTAGTCCGAAAGGGCGCGAGTTCGAATCTTGTAGCTGTTATGATGCACGCAAAATCATTTATTGATCTGGATATCGATACTGGTGAACTTTGTGAGAGTAGTGCTCCATGCTACAGCGTGAGTCGCATTTGTACTATGCTGATCAGAAAGAATAGTTCTTGGTGTCGCTGTTGAAAAGTCCATCGAATGCATGAGAACTCTGGGCCCGCATTGCTGACTCAACGAGCCAGGCTACAAGTACGAAGACCTGTTTCCACCCAAACAGAGAGTCTGTACTACAGACTCTGTAGAGCACACGCAAATGCTAAGTATTACGGTCACGCAAATGCTAAGTACTACGGTCTCGTGGCCTAATGGATAAGGCGTTGGTCTTCGGAACCAAAGATTGTGAGTTCGAGTCTCACCGAGATCGAACCTGGATTGACCGTTCTCGTCCCGTAATAGTCGAGAAGCTCACGGTCACGATTTCTTGCTGAATCCTGCTGCGAGATGAAACTTGCAATGGGATAGGGCTGAGCCGAGAATCGAACTCGGGACCTCGTGCACCCGAAGCACGAATCATACCACTAGACCACACAGCCACATCACCCTAGTGCAAGTAGGGCTTGCTGCAGGTAAGACTCTTGCCTTCTCGCTACACCACCCTCGTGCTCACCGTGGCAAGCTGAGGATTTCGGGACAGCGCCTCGTGCATCCATGAGCCACAAACTGGCGACTCGTTTTGTGTTCATGAGTCATGAATCATGACCGCCATGTTGGCATTTGCGTGTGTGAACACACACCCCTTCCAAATAGAAGTCACTACCCGAATTTGAACCGGCCACAACGTGACGTCCTCTAACCACTAGACGATAGCGCCACGAAAATCGCTTCGATCATGCATATGCGATGTGATACCGCTCGTTCGTTCTCGCAGGCAGGTCCAATTTGTAGGGCCTTCCTATCGCGTGTGCGCTGCAGCCTCCCTCGCAGAGTTCACCTGGCCTTTTACCGCTGCACGCAACCCAGCGTGTATCTGTAGGGTTTCTGAGTTTGTGAACCGAAAGTGGGCCCCTCCCACTTCCAAGAGTCAACAAAAGAGGAATCGTGCTCACTCAAGTTGAGTGACTCAGCATTGCATTGGAGAGAAACGCCGGGCACAGTCGCACCGGACCTTGAGTTATTGGAAAATTTCGAGC